TAGACTGCCGGGGGATTCCCATGATGCACTGGGCTTCTCTCCTCTCCTCTCCTCTCCTCTCCTATATATACATATGTGTATGTATGTATGTATATGTTTATATAGTTGCCTATCACCGTTACATATGACTAACTCTGTGACTCCCCCCGAGGTTCTCCTGCGCCTGCTCTCTCTGTGGATGTCTCTGGATCTGGAGCTCCTGAATTACAGCCGCTGGCCTCACCTTCTGCATCCTGCTGCCCCCACCATGACGCCTCCTGTTACAAAAGGACAATAACTTCTAATTAAAGCTGCAAGCAGCGTTGGTCGGGTCCTCGGTCTGCGTTGGACCCTCATGCCCGTCTGACCTCCATTTTGACACAATTGAAACCTGCTTTAAGTTGATGGAGCCATTTTTCTGTCTCTGCTCAGCCTCAGCCTGTCAGTGAGTCACATGACCAGCTGCACTGAGCTGCCAATCAGCATTTAAGCTGCAGGTGATGATGTCATCGTTCTTCATGTCCCTTGGTGGGAGAATGACATTTTTACTCACTTTCTTTCTCCCATACAGCCACAATTTTCACCAAATGTGTGTAAAAACAGCATATTTTTGTGGTAAATCTTGTTAGGAAGCCCTCAGTGTCATTTTAAAAGCTGTAGGACCTTTAGTTTTTTGTGTAGATGACCAACTGACACAGCATGTCTGCACATGCCGCATAGACAGCCATACAAAGTATGAGCCGAGGCTGCGGCAGGTCATCAACTTTAACGGCTCGCCATTCGAAAACCGTTTGAGAAACGCCAAATCCCTTCAGAACTTTTGTACATCAAGGCCTTCTCTGTCTCCTTGCGGACTTCCTGTTTGAGATAGGTCAGGGGTGTCAGTGCGAGATTTGTGGGTCTCATTGAGACGAACGTTTTGGTGTTGGTTTGATCTCTGTAGGACATTCCTACTGGGCGCTAGGGCCATTTTAGTGTGTTTTTCTGTAACTAGGTGGCGCTAGAGAGCATTTTTGTCTTTTTTTTTCATTTTCATCATCAAATTTTTCGCCGATTCGGACGTGCGTGCCAATTTTGGTGAGTTTTTGAACGAGTTTAGGGGGTCAAATTAAGGGTTTTGCGTTGGTCAGGAAAATAAGAAGAAGAAGAAAGAAAGAAACGAAGCGGGAACAATAGGTGCTTGCTGCAGCAAGTAGGGGTCCTTGGACCCTAATAACTTGTTTAACTGTAAACTAAATTTTAGAATTCATCCTACATCCACCCAACCGGTCGAGACAGATGGCCGTCCCTCCCTGAGCCTGGTTCTGTCGGAGGTTTTTTTTTTTCCCCTGCGGGGGTTTTCGGTTCCTTCCCACTGTTGCGGACTGCTTGTGGACTGCTGAAGCTTATAATGAATCCAAATGTTTTGGATTGTTGGGTGTTTCTGTCTCTGCCTTTGTGAAGCGCTATGAGATGACTTGTTGTTGTAAATATGCGCTATACAAATAAAACTGAATTGAATTGAATGTCATGAATTCACAGATTCATGGGAGGTATTTTAACACTGCTTTATTATCGGATTCACAACAGAGCATTACAGCGGAGCAGGCATCCAGCCAAGAGAAAACATGGCGACTGCCGTAAAGCATCTCATTGCCGTAAACAAGCAATGGTGATCAATATGAAAGCCAATAGCGCCTCCTAGTGGAGTTTATTAGAACATGCCATTTAACTCACATCACAACTGGGATGTTTTTTATGTTTGTTTTTTTTTTACGTACAGTGGGGTAAGTCAGACTTTCATGGAAACCTTTCAAAACACAAGAAGTTCTGACCTGTAAACTGAAGAAGAAATAACTGAGACTCTGCTCTTTTTCTCAGTAATCAATGAAACTAATCACATAGGATGCAGTGACCATCCTCAATACAAGGGTCACATTTTCTTTCAGTTGTGTCCTTACATTGAAGGAAAAAAAATTAATGTAAAGAAACAATAAGAAATAAATAAATCAGATCCCATTTGGTGAAACTCCTTACATACATTGTTAAATGATGTATGTCCGTCATCAATAAGTGAAATATTTCACCATGACATTTGGATTTTAATTCTATATCTTGTACTCAGTGTAGTCACATATAAAGTGAATCAGTTCAGACAACATTATGATGTTTTGTTCAGACATGAACAGTGTATAGATTATTTACTGTTTACCAGAAATACTTAGAATGAAGTGTTTCACATACGCAGCATCATGACAAAGTTTAGCCAGTGAAGTCAAACTTAAAATTGAAAATGCACATCATCAATCAGATCTCTTTATTAACAAGGTAGCACATACACACCAGCAAAAGATCAAAATGGAAACCATGGCAGTTTCTGCTGTTTTGACAAAGACTTTGATTCCAGCTCATTTAAAACCACAGCTGCTCAGTCAAAGTGCTTTCTAGAAGAAAAATGACTCACCCAAGTTTAAATATTACAGTTAGAGGTCTACAATAATAATAACATTTCTCTGACTATTTTCAACATTTAAACTTTGAACCACAGAAACCAAATCGATTCAAAGACTGTATGAGCAGCATTGTTGAAGTGATTTATGATTAGTGGAAATGTTTAGTTGATCAAAAACTAAAACAAGGTCAACACACTGAAAACTAGAACGTCAAATGATTTTGTTTTATTACATGTGTGCTTATTTGTTATGTATCAGTTTAGTTTGGTTTCTGTAGTCGTGCTG